TAGTTAATAACTACTCCATACCACATTAATCATTTTAGCAGTTAATAACTACTCCATACCACATGAATCATTTTAGTAGTTAATAACTACTCCATACCACATTAATCATTTTAGTAGTTATCACACTAGCTTTTTTCTTTCTTTCTTTTCAAGTATATAGGTAAGTCATAATATAGGAAACAAGTTATTTACCTCATTCCATGGTTTCTCACACATACACTCACAAATAATTTGCAAGTCAATAATCAAAGCTTCATTTAGACCAACAGGATAAATCTGAACTGTTTGGTTCCATGCAGTCTGGTTTTCAGGACATTTCTTGATTTCAATTCTTGCTTCAAATGTCACCTGGTGAACAGAGAACAAATAGAGTAATACAGAATTTTTTTTTTTTGTTTGTGAGAAATACAGATATGCTGGATAAAAGCATTTTTTTGTTGTGATTCAAATCGTACATGTTGTCAAACATGATTTTAATATTTTTGTAACTAATAAATAGTTAATAATTTTTTTAAATAAAAAAAAAGTTAAATGATAAAATTTAACACAAAACTAATAGGTATTTATTTCAAAATCACTCAGTTTGAAGAAAGGAAAAGTTAACAACTAATGAACAGTTACAATGTTTTTGGTGAACAATTATCTGAAGATGCACATTAATATCTTTTTGTAAAATTTCAAGTGCAATGAACCTTAATGGGTATAAATATAGCTGGTTGCTTTTATAAAATCTAGTCTGTTCACTTAAATGTACTTATACATGTTACTATATTATCAATACTCTAAATAAAAACCGTTCTAGCAAAATTATATATACTTACATTGTCACCAACTTTTAAACCTTTACACTCATTGGTATTCTCTCTCTTGTCTCTGGTGTAGAAGAAAACAAACTTAATACACAATTTAAATCTTTAGCTGGAAATACGAGTTTAATACAAATGTTCTAGAATAGTTGACATATTAACCACGCTAATTAAAGTTTGATCCTTCATCACCTTCTTAAACCAAGTAAGCCTAAATACAAAAAATGCTGCAGCAAAGAAGAAAACAAGACCAAACTTTTAACTGAAAAGTTAATTACAATAAAATTCAGACTGGACCTCATAATGTACGAATAACAATTTAATTTCAATATTTCCTTACAATTCATTAACTTAGTTATTATGTTTCTCAATCAATGACAAAAAATATCCCAAAGACATTAGATTACAAACTTGTTGTTTTGCGAGATGATCAGTGTGAATACTCTTTTAGTTAATCAGCTAAAAAGAAAAAAGTTTTGATTTATCGAAAATACTTATAATTGTTTTTCTTTTTATATTAGTGTTTAAATAAAATTATGAAAGTCAAAGTTTGCAAAACTAAAGCACAATTTCATAAATTTACGTAACTGATTTTTTGTTTGTTTGTTTTTTGGATTTCGCGCAAAACTACACGAGGGCTATCTGCGCTAGCCATCCCTAATTTAGCAGTGTAAGACTAAAGAGAAGGCAGCTAGTCATCACCGCCAATTCTTGGGCTACTCTTTTACCAACAAATACTGGGATTGACCGTCACATTATAATGCCCCCACGGCTGAAAGGACAAGCATGTTTGGTGTGACGGGGATTTGAACCCGCGACCCTCAGATTGCGAGTCGAGCACCACCTGGCCATGCCTGTCTGATTTTTTTTTCTCTCTCTCTTCTAAGAACTTGAAACAGGTATAATATTGTGTTCATAACAGTGGTGAGGATTCCAGAAACCTCAATAAAATTTAGAAAATACACTATTTACAATGTCAGGCAATAGGTCATAAAGTTATACATACCTTCAAAATTTTTAGAAGTTACTGAATAAATTTAACCTCATTCTTTGAAACTAATTAAATTATTGAAAGAGTATTTCACTTTAATTTCAAGCATATTTTAATACAGAAGAATTTCAGGACATGTAACAGCCTAGCATGATTGTTGTAAGTATGTGACTAGAGAGAATTAAGGTTTAGGTGAATATAAAATTGTTTAATGTGGCATAAATGCTGCATATATTTTATTGGTTTTAAAGAAACTAAAGTAAAAAAAATGTAAACAAATAATAGTGTATTCTATGAAAATTTGATACTTTTTTCAACAAGCTATTACTCTCTGAATAAAATTATCTTCCATTTGGCTGAGCCCTAATGAATGACCTCTTAGCTATTCTTATTGTACTCAATGTGGTTAAGGTAAATAGTCTAAATTATACACATTTGTACTGTGTAAAGGTTTATTGCAACCAAAATAAACCGACAAGTGCTAAAAATCTGAAAGTTCAGATACATTAATTTTTTTTTGTGCTGACAGCTTTGTATGTGCAAAATGTCTGTGTACTCATAACACGTGTTTCACAAAAAAGCAGTATAAAGTGACTGTCGATCAAACCATGCATTGATAAGAACAAAGAATACTATAACTAACTCCTAAAGATTGTAATCATACCTGTTAACTTTCCCATTAAGGTACATATAATCGCAAAATATAAATAATTATACACAGCAAAATTCAGAGTGAGATATATCTTGATTGAAATACTTAAGGAATCACTCCCCTCCACAAAAACAACAAATTCACACGTATATTAAGCAGAGATATAAGTTTTGCAGTAATAATTATTATGTGGTAATATGTAATTCTTGTGCCACATGTAGCTTACTCAATTATTTTTGATTTCACACAAACACAAAATCTTCACAACTTTAACTCTTTTGATGACATAAATGATATTATCTGTTCGTTATTTATTTTTAAGCAGTATAAATCCAATTTCTTTTTATTTCAATTTGAAGCTAATGTGTATACTTACCCCAAACAAGAGGAAAAATACTTGATTTCAATGAAATCATTGTTTACGTTATCTTGCAGCTTGACACTTGATGTAATTTTCTGTGGAAGAAAAGAAGTTAAAGATTCATCTTGGAAAGACTGCACTTGTACATGAGGATGTTCAAAATTCTGAGAATCCATGAATGAATGCAAAGGAAAATATGTTAATCACATTACATCTACTATATCCAGTACTGATAAGGCCTTTTGTCCTATACTGATTGGGACATGACAATTTGTATTGTTGTTAAACACAAAACTGCAAAAAGGAATATTTGGGCAGTATTTACTGTGAATATTAAAATGCAAATTTTAGTGCCATAATTCCAGAAACTTACCATTGAGCCACTGGGAAGCTGAGATATGACATGCATGCATGCATACACAAACACACACACACACACACACACATATATATATATATATTACACGTTTTCATGAATAACAATTGTTAGGGTGTGAATTCGGTTAAACAAGAGAACAGTAATTACTGTCAATTTTATATAAATCACTTACATATCAGATTTTTAGGTAAAAATTAATAACATATCAATATTTTATTTGAGCAACTTATTTTTTTATTATATTCTTATTTGAATTAACTCTATTATCATTCACAAAAATGGCAAACCAGTGTACTAATCTTGTTCCTTGGGGAATATGAAACTACTAATGTGTGAAATAAGAGTTGGCAATTGGTACTTTACTGAACAAGTTGTCAAAATTTGTTCCCGATGGATAAATTTCCATGCAACTATTCCGATTTAAAAGTTTTAATAAAATCAGCAGTTAATGAGACAGCTGTAAAATTACATTAAACAGATGTCAAATGTCTTAAACAGTAAGTAACTGGCATTTTCAGCTTCAATAGTGTAAAAGTGGAGAGCTAAAATACACTTAATAAGTATACATGTTCTCATACCAAACAGAATGCCAATCACCAACCAATGGAAATGTATTAATTATTATTTCTTTTTTTTTCAATTAATTGCAGTTGGGGTGCTTTACATTTTATGCGACTCATTTCAAAATGAAATTATAAATTTTGTGATTTAATATATTCATAGGATTTTAGAAGTTTCTCTCATGGCTCATATTCATTTTACTATCAGTTGAAGCTTTAACTCTTGAAGTTTAAAAGTTTTCACACTTACACTATAAATAATTTCAAGCAACTTGAATTAATGTTTTTTTTATTTTCATTAAGATCAATTAAATTTCAAAAAAAAATGGGAGCACATAATATCTCATTAACCATAGGTTGTTATACTACTTAAATTGGTATTTCCGCATGGAAATTCACCAACCAGAAATTTAAAATTTTCAAATATACATCTATTTGTTTATCAGTCACTTGACGATTTGCAAAATACCAGCCATTATTTCAAATCTTTGATGCTCTGTTGATCTAACTGATTGCAGCTTTTCTCAACAAAAATGTATGAACACTATACTTTCTTCACTAATAATACACTATAAGATGTTAGACTTTTATTTTTGTAAAAGTATTGTATTAATTATAATTCTTGTAAATGTCCAATGTTGAAAAAAAAACATGCAAAAAATAACTTGAAGCCCAAGATGTTACAAAAATTGAACGAAAAAGAATCACTTGATGATAAAATAGAGCTTTCTCCTCATACATGATGAATGACTAATAATTTCTTCATTGTTTAGGAAAAATAAAAGAGGGAAGTATTTTCATTACTTCCAAGTTCTTTTTATGAAGAATACTGAAGCATTGCTTTGGTGAAACATACACTTCTAGTATACAAGTATATTGAGATTGTACTAAAAGTTAATAATAAATAAATCTCATTTCTTATAAGATTCCTTAGTGCGTGTGAATTCTAAACGAGACTCACTTACAGAATTACTCACGCAATATTTTCTTCGTCTTACACCTCTTAAGTGAAATTGAATTCATTACTGGATGACATATTTTTTGAGAAAGATAAAACAAATACACAATAGTTATAGATTTACATTCCTAATTAGTGAAAATGATTTCATAGATTCAATCACATGTCTGATTTTGAAAAATGGGATGAACTCAAAACCAACTTTAGGTGGCAGAAATGTATGCTATCATTCTTCCCCAGTAAAAACCCAATTTTCTGGGTTTTTTTCTTGAAGAAAATGTAAAAAATTACAAACGTATGATGAATTACAAAGCTACTTTGCACTGCCTGGTTAAGAAATGACAAATTAATCTCAATTATATCAAATTTTTATAGACTTGTAGTCTTTGGGTTACTAGAAAAAACAACAACAAAAAAACAATTCAAAATTACATCCCTACTAAAAGAAGGTGGTGGTACTTTGCAGCTACCATGTCATACTTACACTATACTGATCTTTCACTAGCTCTACCACATTAGACGAATCTTTTTCCAATTTTCCTGCAGTAGAACCCTCTAGATGTTCACTGAGACGTTTATAGATTGATAACTGATCACCAGTAACAGCAAAAATTACATTCACTTTATGTTTTTTAACTTCCACATTAATCTGACTAAGAGATGGGTAGTCCTGATAGATGCTCATGATGTAATTTCCTTGCTCATCGAGGTGACACTGGCCATCATTAGGTTTTATAATTCCTCCCAACTATAAACACAAAACATACAGTAGAAAACGATTTTTCATGTCAAAATGTCAAAATTTTTATTTACAAACCATACATAAAATGAAAACATTTTCTGCATGCTCTTTTGGACTTTTTTTATCATGTTATTTAACTGTTCACTAATTAAAGCAAGAAATATCTTCTCCAAATATTCTATGACATTTTATCCATATCGTATACGCATGCTGACACAATCAAACTTTAGTTTTTCACCTAATGATAACAAATATTTTATAACAAACTATATAATTTTACTTATGGGTTAAAAACAAGTAATATTTCTCGTTAAAATCTCACAACTTTAGTCTTAAGAGACAAAAGGTCTTAAATATCACTGGTGCCTGTGTAAGATATATTAAATCAGTTTTAAAAAATCCAAACACACTGTTGTTTCAAGAGTATAAATATTCTGAAATTTCATGCTATTCTGTAAAATATCTCATTAACCGTTTATTTCTTTTTGTTAAAATAAAAATTGTGTACAATATCAGAAGACGTATGTCTCAATGTTAGAAAATCTGTCAGAAAATTAATTTCTACAGTTATCATATCTTTACTAAACCTCTCATATTTTCTTTTCATATAGATGAAACTGTACGGTATCTCGCTAACGTGTACACAAAGACTGTAGAAAATGATACTTTAAAGAACAAAGTGTACAAGTTGAACAAAAATAATACCACGTTGCTCTAATACTGATACGCTGTGAAGAGTTTTATGTTCACATGAAACACAATACTTATTCAGAAATAAAATGGTTAATGAGCAACACTAATGAGTAGATCATTTCTGTAAATTGAGGCACTAATAAGTCTTCATTCAATCTAGGAATTCCATTTTCTTTTCTAGTATGAACTACAGTTTTTGTTAAATTTGCATTAATTCTTGCACAATTGTAAGTTTTAATATGTTACTATTCATACTCTGAATACATATTTCAGATAATATAATTATATGCACACACACACACACACACACACACATACACATTAAAAAATATATTTGAATTTTAATCTTTACATTGTATTACTAGAAAATAACTTTCCCTGTATTATTGGTAATTTTTGTCATAATTTTATAGAATGTCATTTTTTAAGTATATTTTAATGTTAACATAAAATTACATTTTTCAATTAGTTTTTATGATTTGATTACTTATGTTACCATCATAGATAGAAATATTGATTACATTATTAGCCAAAATTACACATCATATATATGAAAAAATGCACTATTTGTTGCCAAAAGAGTAGCCCAAGAGTTGATGGTGGGTGTTGATGACTAGCTGCCTTCCCTCGAGTCTTACACTACTAAATTAGGGACGGCTAGTGCAGATAGCCCTCGTGTAGCTTTGCGTGAAATCCATAACAAACAAACGATCATGAGCCACGATTGACCATCACATTATAATGCCCCCATGGCTAAAAGGGTGAGCATGTTTGGTGTGATGGGGATTGTGGCTCATGAACTAATTAAATTAAATAAAAGGCTGTTTATTATAAGTAAAATGATAATCAAGTTATAAAAATTAATTTACCAATCTAAAAAGAAAAATTATATTTCTTAAAAAAGTAATAACTCTATAATTTAAATCAAGATTGTCCAAATGATGACTAGCATCTCACCTAACAGCCACCAGGCTATCATTACAAGAGTACAAAATGAAGAAATAAAAGTTAAACTTAAAACTAGACCCGATCCATTTCACTGCTTAAGACAGCAGTACACGCATACATAACTGTTGCCAAATTAACAGAAAATTACAGTCTTTCATTCAAAGTTACACGATATGTTTTTCGCCAATAACTAGTGTTCAGCCCCTGAGACAGTTCTTGAAATGCTACATGACCAACCACTTGGGCAAAGTTAGACAACACTAATCTGGGTTGAAAGTGAAATTGATACAGATGTGTATGCAATGTGAACAATTAGCAATAACCCTAGAATCTGAGAATACTTTTTTATAATAATAAAAAGCTTTAATTTGACCTTTCCATCTCCAGCATAATGAAATCCACTGTCTGTTGAAAATACCAGCATTTTTCTTGATTTTTTTCTCCACTCAATAGCTTCCTGTTGATACATAACAAAAAGAAATTTCATACATTTATTGATTCTTATTAAACACTTCTCATATATTTCAAACACCACTACACAAAAGAAAACACACTTGAAATAATTTTGAACTAATACAAAAACAATCTACCAACTATTCACAACATTACAGTACCAGATGCAGGTTACATCCTTCCTCCTATCCAAAAATTTTTTATAATCAAATTGTAGTTTTATGCACATATGTATTAATAAATATACATGCAAGTACAATGTTGTAAGTTGCTCAAGTTTAAAAATGGGAATTCTGTTACCAACGCTGATATTCAAAAAGATAGTGCAAAATCTATATATTATGTAAGATATCAAAAATTTCGTTAATAAATGACAAAATAAATAATTAAGAAAATGACATTTAAATGTCACTCTTGTGGGCAACATCAAGATTATGTAGATTTCTACTTTGACTGACACAGTTTATTACGTTTCCTGGATTTTAAAATGTGCATTAATTACTTACGTGACAAACTATGGCTTGCATCATGGCATCAAAACCACCTTCTGGGGCATCTAAGTTCCCTGAAACTCTAGCAGCTTTCACCTGCTTTTCAAACTCTTGAGTATTAAGACTGAGTGGCATGTGATTCTTAAAACCATATGGAGGAGCACATCCAGTGCAAGGCTCTTTTAACCTTCAAAAAAAATAAAAAAATGATGAATATAGTTAATTAAATACAACTGTTCTTAGATTCTTACTTATATAGGTTAGAAATGATTATTTCATCTGTTGAGTATCCTGTTGGTATAAAAGTGATATTTTTGGCCTTTATCCCAACAGTACCTCAAAAAGTTCAGCTGGTTTAGAAGATTTAGGCTAGACCCAAACCTACATACTAAGTTAATAATACAAACTAATCTTTATAATATAAAATTAATACATCCTACCCAATACTGTTAACACAAGTAAAATTACAGAAATTAAAGAGTATGCCTTACAGAACACATAAACACTAGCCTTGTGTTTATAGATTTTATAGCAACTACCTAAGAAGCATTTATCGTCTTACTTGTTCTCACTGTAAATATTCAACCACAATACAGCTGAACCTTTTAGAAGGAAACTTGTACTTTTATCTGTTTCCAACAAATACACTTAGGAATGTTTTGTGGGGGAATAAGATATGTCTGTTAATTCAAGTTACTAAAACATTTAAAAGATGAGGAATAATAAAAACAGTTTACAAAAGTTTATTTTAGTGAAGCAGTGCATATTTGAATATTCATGATAAACATCATTTTAGACGGCAGATTTGAAATTCCTTTACATTTTTTCCACTGTGGATTTCAAATTACAATTGTCTAGAAACAGCATTTCATATCTATTTTTGTCTCCAACATGGATTAAAACAAGAGAGATGGAGAGTTACGTTTGAGTTAGCAAGATATAATTTGATTACGTACTTCTCAGGTACAGTGCTGACATACGGCATCACCACTTTATCAACAAAAGAACCAAAACCAAGACGAAAGTTGCTGGTGATGTTTTCCATGGTGGTTGCCAACAAATTTCCCAGAGCTGCCAATTTATCTTTGTCATCTTCCATGGACTTAGATAAATCCATCAAATAATACAAGTCTACGGGATAGTCCACTGCCTGCCGAAACTCCACGTTCAAAGTAAATGGACTTTCTAGACACAAAGAGAAAAACACATATATACATGTATGTATATGTCTATATATATTAAACAGCAACGTTTTTTTGTAGTTTGCCCTTTTTATAATTATATGATGTAAATACTAATAGAACTTCTTAGTCTTGTTCATTAAATTTAAAAATTAGGAAAATATTTCTGATATACAACTTAGTATTTTAAGCTTTCAGTTATATGAAACAAGAACCAGCAGAATACAAAATTCTATTGGACTACTATTTTATGAATTTATGTCAGTAAGTTTGGTATCAAACTGTAGATCATAATTCAATTTTTAGTATTATACATTATTCAATTTCTTAATTTAAAAGTAAATCATAAAATAACACTTAAACATCGATTTTTTGTGTGTCACGTGGTATGCTGAATGCAGTACTGGTTCAAATTAGATGTTTGTGATGTCAAAATACAAAGTCTATGATTTCGTATGAATTAGGAACTCAAATTACTGATATTGAAAAGCTAGAATATAAAATAAGAACAGCCTATCTTTTCTATTTGCTGAGATATTGCTTCATGTACTAAATCAAACACAGTGGTCCCACTAACCTCTTTCCATTTTTTGAATTGGTCCCTTATATACACTTACTTGTGTATATGACATGTGAATAATCAGTCAAAAGCTCTGAATGTCCCCTAGTGGCATTCTCAGCCATTTATATGTGATAGGAGGCCATCTTATTCTTTTGAAACAAGATTTCAAGGAGGTAGGTTGTGTCTTTAGTCTGCTCAAAATTTCATATATTTTTTAGACCAAAATACAGCTTAGTTACTAAACTTGATAAATTATAACAGAATTCTATGGTATTGATATAGTAATTTATGATTTTTTGGTTATTCAAATGTATATACAAAACCTAAAAAAAATTATTTTGTTTCACATCCTCCACATGCGAAATTTTTTAAGGCCTAACAAACTACGAGAAGCAGCAATCGAGTACAAAGGTCATAACAAGAAGAGATAATTGTTTGCTACACTTCTTCAGTTACTGTTCTATGTTTTAAGAAAAATAAGTTTAAGAACTTATTTGTAAATATTAATGATCTATCTATCTATATATATATAATAATAATTGAAATGTGACTGTATTTTACAAAATACTAGTCCACTAAAACAGCCAAGACTTTGTAAAGACTAAAGGTCAGTTCTATTTTATTGTATACGGTAACATGAGTGCACGTGCGCCACATCATTGTACCTTCTATATTGTTGGCCAGGCTATTTAGACTAACCATTTGTGTTTTCGTGTTATAATCTGTAGTCATTCTAGAACAGAAAAAGCATAATTGATATTTATTTTCTAATTTTTTCTGGTGGCTACAAGGTTGGTCAAGTTGACAGACCTTATATAGTTAGGGTAGAGAAAATAACAGACAAAACATAAAGTTTTACTGAAAACAAACATTTGAAATGTATTTAGGAGGTCTTAGAGATTACACAAATAATATTTGAGATTTTTGGGACAAAGAATAGTTTTTTCAATTATGACACGGAAATCACTTTGCACTTGGACTAGTAACGAAACAAATTCGAAATTTTTACAAACAAATCTTTAGTAAAAATACTTCATTAAAGAATCTGATTTTTTGTGTACAAAGGACTTGGAATCATTAATAAAAGTCTACCACATTTTTTGAAGATACACATACAGCATTAAAAGTTATAGTAAAATACTTAATGTGTGCAAATGTCTATATGAACTCATGTATTTTATACCAAGCCCATCACGAAAGGGTAAATAATTTTTCTTGCAAACTAGCACTACTTTTATTTCTCATCTTTTTCTTTCTTCCAACAATAACAGAATAGTGATTTGAATTTCAAAAAACAAAATGTGTTTAAGTGTGCAGCAACTTCATTTTCAGATAGTCTAGGTAAGCTGATTAAAAATGACGAAAAATGTATTGAACACCCTATGTGACAGTTTTTGAAACACTATACCATGTCCAAACTTTAATAAAATATATATGATCTCAATTGTCTCTGATGGAATTTATTTTCTTTAGAACAAGTATATTTTAAGATACTTTTATATGTATGGTGTTTTCTGTATAATCACT